CCTTCTGTTTGCAAATACTTCTGTGTAAGATTGACTTCTTCCAGTACATCACACCAAAAAGAAAGATAACCCAAAAAATAAAAATCACATACAGCTTTAAGCAAAACTTCAGCTGATCCTCTTGTGTCAACATTTTCTCTTTGATCAGTCAATGTTTCCAGGGCTGTGATCAGCTTCTCAAATTGTTTCTTGAGAGGCTTTACGGTATCATGATGTGCACTCCATTTAGTCTGAGAAAGTCTTTTGATTGTCAGATTCATATTTTCTTTCAGTACTCCCCATCGGTGAGTTGAAAGTGAAAATAAACAATAAAGTTTCTCTACGGTTCCAAAGAATGCTACACATAAAGGATTGGCTCCAAAAGAGTGTACCCCACAAAGGTTCAAGGAATGATTGGCTCAAGGCACAAACAAAACCTTTGGATTTATTTCTTTGATTTTCTTCTGAACACCTCCATGAATACCAGCCATAGTTGCAGCATTATCATATCCTTGACTGCGGCAAAAGTTAATGTCCAGTCCATCACTTTCCACATTACTCAGGATATCCTTTGTGAGCTCATTTGCAGTTTTTCCAGCAATAGGAAAGAAACCCAAGAAAGATTCCCTTACTTTAACAGAATCACCTTCAATATGAACATATTTAATCACTTCGGACATCTGATCTGTATGAGAAATATCAGGTGTACTGTCAAAAAGAATTGAAAATAATACTTGGCCTTCTTGATGTCAGCAACAAATTTTTCCTTAACATTATTTCCTAGAAGACAGATGAATTCATTCTGAATATTTGGTGACAAATAAGAGCTCACTCTCCTTCCAGATGTCTGAGATGGAATAGCATGCTTAACTTCCAAAAGATGTTCTTTCAAAACAGGATCATAGTTTGATAGTAACTCCACCAGTTCCAGGAAATTGCCTTTGTTTATTGATAACATATCCTCCCTATGACCACGAAAAGGAAGGTTCTGTCGAGCTAGAAACATCCAAAAGACGATGAAGTATGTCCCTCCATTTCTTCCCCTCTCTGTCCATTGCAGCTTGATTACCATGATCAACAGTTCTTTTGAGCTTTAGTCCTGCCTCATGGCACCCCCCTCTGGCTGTCACCCGGGGCGGACCGCCCCCCCCCCCTTAGTACGCCACTGTAAAGCGGCTTTTCTCGCTAATGAAGTCCATACTCGTAGCAGATGAAGTGGGTGGTGAGTGGCGAGTAACACAGCCTGCAGTGGGGGTGAGGGTGGCGAGTAACGCAATCTGCAGTGGGTGGTGAGGGTGGCGAGTAACAGCCTGCAGTGGGTGGTGACTCACTGGTGTGGGTGGCGAGTAACAACCTGCAGGTGAGGGTGAGGAGTAACAGCATGTAGCGGGTGGCGAGTGACACAGATGCATACACACGCACACACACACACCGTTAGCACACAGATACTGAATGACACACACACACGCATGCCTCACCCCAGCTTACATAACCTCACTCTTAACGTAGTTCATTTTTCCAATTTAACCCGTTTTGCCGAACAGCCACCATAACTAGTGAGAAGGAGGAAGACGAAGAAGAGGGCAGCAGGATAAGCAGATGAGAGTAAACAATTATGAGGGAAATGGGCTTGTGATAACCTTGGAACAAACAAACAATACGTAGTTAGTACAGTATTCTCGTAAGCATCAGAACATGCGAACGAGGATGGAGAGGTGGAAGAGAATGATGAGAAGACGGACGACGAATAAGAAAACAAAGGGTAGAGGGATGAATACAAGGGGCAGTGAGTCAGAGGGATAGCCTTAAAGATTGGATAGCAGCACTCATAGTAGGTTAGCTGTTATCTTTACTCCTTTACTTATCCCTCTTTCAAAATCAGAATTCGAAAACCAAATTAACATACTAAATATTAAGTTCATATCGTCAGAAGTACAATAGCCTTGGTAGACTATCTCCAGGTGACATAAGGCGTAGCAATTCCCAGCGAGGCTGTCGACTTTGTGTAAGCTATAAAAAACAATGAGACGCTGCGTAGTGATAGCCTCTTTGCTAAGTTACCTATCGTGTTTAATCGTTGATTTTGTTATTATTATGAAAGAGAATTTGAAGAACTTGTGATTGGATAGATCTCTGTGTGGCACAGTGATATTAGAGCTTATATGTGATACAGATGTCGAGAAGCGTGGGAAATGTTACATAACCTTCGGGGAGAAATTGTAGATTCCAGGGGTTCTTAACCGGGGGGGAGGGGGGGGGGAGGGGAGGATTTATGCAGTGTAACACCCAATGAGGAGAAAATTCATCCGAACTCTTCCTCAAAATAAGGAAAATCTTCCCTTTCCTGTTTTATGGGTCAGCATCATAACATCTCCTATAAAGAATTTGTAACACTGCTTGAGCTGTGAGGTGTGGTGTTAGTCCCTGTCCCCGGTTTTGAATCCTACAAGTTTATTTGAGGCAGACTTGGGGTGCGTGTGTGCCCATTCAGCAACCACTGTCTTGTAAACAAGAAGCTGTTCAAAACATCCCGGTGAGATAGATATTTTGTCGTGATTTGTTACCTAACTTTAGGCATTACGTTTCATTGCCTAAGAATATTTATTTTTCTGTTCATTAATGAGTCGGTTGCAGGGCTTTATCACTCATGATTGCCGGAGCTGTCAAAATGCTTGCCATTTCCTCTCTCTCTCTCTCTCTCTCTGTATATATATATATATATATGCTGATAACCACAACATGAATTTAAGAAATTTCAATCATTCTGCACTGTCAAACCATACAAAGTTCTGCATGTTAATCAGACCCGCTGGTTATCATTCCACCAGGCAGTCGAAAGAGTATTAGAGCAGTGGCAGCCCCTAAAAATGTTTTTTACTTTAAAAGAATCAGAGGAAAGATTGGTGGCAGTACAACAAATAGCAGAGAGTCTTAGGGACCCTTCACTTTTATTGTACTACAATTTTCTTAATTTCATATTGCCCAAATGTAACAAGTTAAATCTACTGTTTCAGAGAGAGTCACCAACTATACATTTGTTACAGGACTCTTTTCGGATATTTTTGTCGTTATGAAGAAATGAAGAAAATCACCTCCCAATAGGCCAAATATACTTGGGGGCAACAATACATGGCCTACTGCAAAGTGAACAATATAGAGAACTCCCTAATATGGTCAAGGATGTACAATTCAGATGTCGTATCTTCATGATAAACCCTTGTGCGCAATTACGTCAAAGATTTGAGTTTGGCAGTTAGTTTTTATGGATGTGTTCATTTCTGTCATCAAATAGGTTATTTGATAATAAATCCAGGAAGGAGATGCCATCCTTATACGACTTTGTGAAGGCGGTGCCCCGCATATACAGTGGCAGTATACAAGTTTTAGATGATCAATGGAGAGACTTAGATGTGATTGCTGTACCAACTGAGACAGCAGTGACATAGTGGACGTTTATACAAAACTAGAGGAACTTAAGGACGGTGTAGGTGTTTCCCAATTTAAGAACCTTTGTACATTTGCCTTGCAGGTATTGTCTCTTCCAACATCCAATGTAGATGCAGAGAGACTATTTTCTAAATTGAATTTAATGAAAACAAAATCCAGAAGCGCTCTGCAAACTCCCTTTATTAATTCATTAACAGCCTTGTCTAAGGTTGTGAAATTCCAGGGTGGATGTATAAATTTTACACCAAATCAGAGGATGCTAACTTCTATTTGATATTTTTTGTTCAATTAGTGTTTAATGTTCCCATGTTATGTTATAATATTATATGGTTGTAGGGTTTTTGTATATGTTTATTTATATTTTGCCAAAAAATTACAATAGTGATACCTAAAATTACTGCTTTTTAATGTCCATTAATACCCAACGAAAACGTGAGGAAAAAATGACGTCATAGAGTTGAGGAATAAACGGCAGGCTGTGCTCAGTAGTAAAGACCAAGGTAATCTCCATTCCATGCATTTATTGTGCAACTTTTAATACTATCATAAGCCTTCAAAAATACGTAAATAAAAATTTCATTTTTATTTTCATTAGCGTAGATCCTATGGGAGTGATGTCGTGGGGTATGGGTTATTTGGTTCACACTCAGGATGGGATGGAGAAAGGAAACTCACAATGTGCTCTCTGTATACATGTTATATTGGATGTACAATGCAGCTTGGTGCTGGGAAGTGGCAGCGTGGTTACAAGCGTGATGTAGAGAGAGCTGGTTGGTGAGGGTGCTCAGAGGAGGACAAGCTTGTGGGTCGCCATGCTCGCCCGCGGGAGAGGGGGTTGGCGTGGCTTAGTAGTTGACCCCCGCTCCGTGGTGTATGGCGGCGCTGGTTGATCTAGACCACGAGGCATACACAGGGGAATTCGTGGGGTCGGCTACCCAGCGACAAACAGCGTTTGTAGGGGAGAAATCCACTACAAGGCTACCTGGTATCTACCTACCAGGGCTGTCGGAATTTCCGACTCTTTTTTTATCGAACACGCTGATTGGTTCAAATCCAGTACTTCCGTCTGTTAATCGGTAAATTGATGACGTAGTCGGTACGACGTGACGTCACTGCTCCGACTGTCGGTAAATTACCGACTTTAGGACATATGCTTTTTCATGGCTAAAATACCATATAGAATGCACAGAAATAAATTGTAGATGTATTTAATTACCTAACCGACATTTTACTAGCGATATTTTAGCAGAACTAAAATAATACAAATTACAATTGATAAAATACAAATCTAATGTGATCTCATATAACACTCTGAATGGTGTATAATGCAGTGTTTATTATTCAGAAATTTATAAAACTAATGACAGGAACAATGAAGTTCACTGAGTATGAGGACTACTCTAATATAATTACTGGGATCTTCGTTACCCCTCACCACACATTCTATTATAGAAAATGGTATTTTTACGTCATGTTATCGCAACCAATCACAACGCGAGCAGTTGAACCAATCAGTGTGTTCGGTAAACAAGATTCGAAAATTCCCAAGGTACCTTGGGACATTCCGACAACCCTGCTACCTACCTTGGTAAAGACAGTGTCACCTTCAGGCTCGTGTGGTAAGGAGTATGGCTGTCGTCACCGAGAAGTACCAGTTTACCCCTCCTGATAACTTGGGAACCAAGGTGATAATTTTCTCAGCTTTTCTTCTCGGTAAAGTTTACAACAAGGGTACTAGTAAATTAACGGCTTTGGGAATTTTGTTAAAATACTAGATACAGTCCCCGGATTTACCTACTTTGTGGGCCCCAGGCCAAACTCGTCAGTGGGCCCCCAAATTTATAGAAATGTTTGCATGTTTCAATATATATATATATATATATATATATATATATATATATATATATATATATATATATATATATATATATATATATATATATATATATATATATATATATATATATATATATATATACAAGTAAATCACTGTGGTTGTGATCTCTGTACTCACCCCTGAAGATGTGAATTGAAGATATGGATTACACAGCGCTGGAACTTCGTATATATATATATATATATATATATTATTGCTGTTGATTTGCGGGGATGTGATGATTTGTGTGATATCGTCTGCAAACTTATGTATTCACTGTAGGGGCTGGTTCTGGTAGGTCAGATAGTGTAGATATTGTACAGCGTGAGTGAAAGGACACTACCTTGGGGTACTCCACTTTTCAGTTCTATGGGTGGTCCTATATAGCTGCCGATTTGTATTTGTGCCGTGCGATCGTCTAGGAAGTCACAGACGATTTTTTCTAGTGGGTCTGGAAGATTTAATTGAAGCAGTTTAAATTTTAATCCTAGGTGCCATACTTTATCGAACGCTTTCTTAACGTCTCTTAATACAATGTTGACTTGGTTTCTTTCTGCTTTCTTGTTGGCTAACGTTTCCGTGATTATGGCTAGTGCAGTATGTGTTCCCTTTTTTCAGTGAATCCATGTTGTCTGGGGTCTAATAGTCCGTTTTCGCTCCTGTTTTTTCTGATTCTCATGTTTATTGCCTTTTCAAATAGTTTTCCTATAACTTCGAGTAGGGAAAGCGGTCTGTAGTTTATTACTTGGGTGTGGTCTTTGGCTGGTTTCGGTATGAATATGAGTTTTGCGTTTTTAAATGCATCAATGAAGTATCCACTTGCCAAAGCTGAGTTTAATATTTCAAGGATGCCTTGTGTGCAGTTGTTGGGTAGGTATAGGACCATATTTGTTGTGATTTTTGTGAATCCTGGTGCTTTTTCTTAAGTGTCTCTGATGTAGTGTAGCAGTTCTCCTTCTGTAATTGGTTCTATCGAGTTGATCCTGGTTTTGTCCACCACTTGGTATGGGGTTGTCCTATATATCATTTCAGCCATTTTTCTGCAGATATGATTTTCGTGTCCCTCATGAAATTGCTCATTTTCTTCTGATATTTAAAATACTTTTTTCCATTCTCTCCTGTATGTGGATTCTATCTCTTTTTCTTCAAAGAGTTTTTTCCCGTTTTGGTCTTTTATGTACTTTTGTTGGTGTTTGTCGTTTCCTAGAATTTTGTTTACGTTCTGCCAGAAGTTCTTGTCATTGCTTGTGGTATCCAGGTTGTTTATTAGTTCGTTCCATATCTGTTGGTGTGCCGGATGAGGTCCAGAGATGTGAAGTGAGCGGCGCTGATGGTTGGCTGAGGTGAAGGCGGTAACTGGCCAATCACCGCGCAGTCCGAAAGCGAGGTCTGGTCTGTGAAACTCGCCACTGGTTGGCTGGTAAGCGGACGGCAAGTGACCAATCGGCAGTTGTAGGAGATTGTGAACACGAAAGGGGGTTGGAGCAAAACCCATCCCAGCCGAGTCTTTCCAAGAAAACCGTGATCGTGCGGTTCCACCTGGAAAGAGGGTAGCAATCCTTATCCTTCCCCAATAGGCACACTTAGCTCACGTCTATAAGTGAGCAGTCACATACACTAGGAAGTAGGCTTCCCCAACGGGGCTCCGGGAGAGAAGCTCAGGAACCACTCTACGACCACCAGCCAGTGGGGAGTGCTGAAATTCCTCTGCTACTTACTCAACCGGAATAGGTAGGATTTAAAAAAAAAAAAAAACCCGTTTATGGAGCGCGTACGCCCTCCTAACCGCGACCCCCGCCTGAACCGCCAACCTGACGACCCGAACTACGACAGGCTCCGCACAGAGAAAGCGGACCAGTTACGCGCCTTCAATGAAGCCCTGAAAAGCAGGAACACTGCCACCACCTCCAACAACTCCACTGCCACCGCCACTGAGGATGACAACTGGACGAAGGTAGAAAACAAAAAGCGCCGACGTGCTTCTTCGGAAAACGAATGCCGTCAAGCAGCCCAAAAGGCACCCATCACCACCACCAGCTCACCTCCAACGACACTGCCAAAATTCCGGATCACGAAAACGGACACAAAAACGACATATGCCGCCATCACAGAGATAGAAAAGCAAAATCCACTGGCCAAGTTCTCAGTGTGGCCCAACCTAAAGGGGGAGATGATTATTCACCCCAAAGACAAGGACTCCGCCACCACCCTCGACACTTACCTGCAAAACACCACCACCGTTGCATTAACCAAGCTAGACCCCGCCCAGAAACTGATGAAGTCGGTAGTCCTCCGGTACCCAAAGGAACTACCCCTCGAACCCCTGGAGAACCACCCGAAGATCTTAAAAGCCGAGAGATGCTCTCCCCTGTCCGACAAGACGGCCACCACAAAACAAGTGCTCATAACGCACTACGGGTCACCCCCCAGCACCATAGACCTCAAAACCTGGGAGATCTACGAAGTGAGGCCCTTCGTCCCAGAGCCTCTGCAGTGCTTCAGATGCCAGAAATATGGGCACCATCAGACAAGGTGCACGTACAAGGAAATCTGCGCAGTCTGCGCACAGAAGCACGGCAGACACTCCTGCCTCACCAAGCTGAAAAATGGAGAAAAAATTGCCCCCAAGTGTGCCAACTGCGGGGGCAAACACCACGCCTGGAACCCTGGATGTTCCGAGAGGACAAAGAGTGTCCAGGCAAACCGGCCAGCTGCAAGACCGGCTCCCACCGCCTGCACACCAGCCCCACCAAGTACCTTCGTGTGGGGAACCCAAAGGCCAAGACAACAAAGCCACCCTCCTCAGCCGGTCAACACCCAAAGTGCAGCCCAGTTTCCTGGCCTCACTACGGCCACACCTCAGCCACCCAAGCAGCAGACAACGACAACCACGAAAAAGACAAAAGAAGCACACACCAAGGCACCAGAAGGAATGATACACGTATCAGACCTAGCCAAGGTACTGACAACCTTCGCGGAGGGCCTAGCCGGACTACTGGGCCACAAGATCCAACCCACACAGCTCCAAATACTCATGGGGAGCGTCCTCGGGCAAGTCGCCACAGCTCCAGCCACCTCAGTGGAGGAAGCCACGCCGGTCCTCACACGAGTGACAGCCGAGGTACACTCTTCACCGAAGAAGGCCACCAGAGAACCCAAGATACCGACAGCTCCCAGAAAGAAATTGGTCGTTTCAACTCCCCTGAACCGAACCACGGCCCAGAAGGCAAAAACCACAGAACACGAAGATATGAACCTGATCCAGTTGGAATCGAACTTGGACATCTCCATCGAGGACCACCAGAAGTCCCCGATGAAACAGTGATGGAAAACATCAGCACCCTGAACATCCTAACATGGAATGCTCAGGGCATCATAAACAAGAAACACCTCCTACAAGAAGCAGCAGCCAAGTACAAACTTGACATCATACTGCTACAAGAAACACTTCTACAAGAACACCACTGTTTCAAATTCAGTGGTTACAAGACATACAGGAGGCATTTCACGCAGGCGTCAACAAGAGGATGTATGATCTTGGTCAAGTCAAGCATACCCTCCTCCGAGGTCACGCAGCAATTTCCATGTGGGGGAAAACATTGAGACACAGGCCGTCAAAGTAACCCTCCAAGAACGGGAATTAACTGTTCACAACATCTACAAGATCCCAAGGGGCTCACTGGAGGTGACTCAATTATTTGCTTCGGCCGCTGACCACGCCACACTCATAGGAGGGGATTTCAACGCACATCATCCCTTCCTAAGCTCGGTAAGCCCCACAAATGAAGACGGCCTACACCTATACACCACCTTTCAAGATACACCCGAGATCTGCCTCCTGATCACCGGAGAGCCCACCCACACTAGGGGAGGAAGGCTAGATCTAACCTTCGTCTCCAGTGCACTACAGCCTTCGGCCTCCTGGCAGATACACCCCACGCTGACCAGCGACCACTTCGCAACCCTAACAACGCTGAAGGTGAACAAACTCCCCACTCCACCCCCCCCGAGATGGAGATACAATACCCAAAAGGCAGACTGGGGACTCTTTAAGAAACACCTGGCTAAGTGGCGCGAAAAATCACAGCCGGCCGGCGCAGCACCCGTGGACGAGACAACCCTCCACCAACAATTGGTCGAGGCGTTTCACCAAGCGGCAGAAGAGGCTATCCCAAAAACAAAACCCACATCAAGACAGTACAATGATTACTGGTACTACTGTCCCAGGGTGAAAGAACTCAACCACAGAGTAAACATGGCCCGAAGAAACTACAGGAGACATCCCACGGAAACAAACAGACATCTCCTGCAAGTCATAGTTAAGGATACCAGGGAAGAGAAGGAAGAAATAAAAAACGTAAGCTGGCTCAAGTGGTGCTCCGATCTGAACGAGCAAACCTCCCTTGGCAAGATGTGGGCCCAGATCCGAAGGGCATCTGGGAAGGCAACACCACCACCACCACCAACCCATCCCAACCCAGAAGAGGAAGTCGAGAGACTTGCAAAACTGTTCTCTGACCGGGCAGCAACGAAAAACCTCCCGAGATAGGCGGAGGAGACACAACGGCGTCTGCGACAGGTCAGACTGCAGATGATCGAAGAGGCCTGCAACAGTGAAGATGACACCGACAGACCTTTCAACCAGCAAGAACTCCAGAAGTCGCTAAAACGAAGCAAGGACACAGCACCAGGGGCCGACAGGATAACCTACTCCATGCTTTCCCATGCCGGTACAGCCGGACACGAGGCTCTGCTACAAGCCATCAATGCTTCGTGGACAGCACAAAGACTCCCACCGGAATGGAAGAA